CGAAGACAAGGAAGAAAAGTGTCTCCTTTCCTTTTTTCTCCCCTCCAGATTGAGGGCTTGTGGACTTCAATCTGCTGGAGGAATGCTGCACCAAGTCAGGCAAGAAGTTCACGCACTAATTTTGTTGACTATCCCAAAGCAGAGCTCAGAAGTCGTTGAGTCTGTGTCCCTTATGTATCCAAAGCTGACCACTGGGGGAACCTCAGCTAAGGCTTTTGATCATTTGGCTTCAAAGCTAGGCACACGATCTTTCTTCACTCTTTACCCCATTCTTGCTTCTGTCCAGCAGGGGGGCGCACTGGCCACGTAAGGTCCACAAGATCATTTGGTCTGGCCCTGCCAAGGCAATTGCAGATGCAATAAATCTCTAGCAGGCTGATTTTTAAGTCGATCAGTTTGTCTGGTCCGTGAATATTATGAGCATCCAAATGGCCATTGGCAGCAAAAACGTTCCCCATCCCTAGACGGGAGCAAGAGGCTGGAAAGCTCTTGGTGAGAATTCCCGGTGCCACTGCCCGTTTCTCTCCCTGCTCTCTATGTCTCCCTCCTCGGCGTGGCTGCCTGGTCAGTCTTCTATGTCCACAGCCATGCTGGACAGGAACTGAGATGCTTCTTAGGGCTGAAAGCAAGTCCTTGCCCAAGAAACTCCACCATTTGGCCAAGGATACAAAATCCACTGGTGCTAATGCATGCGATGCCCTTTGACCTTCCTTACCCTTAAAGTTTCCAGAATGCTAGGAAGATTGTGATCTGTGTTTCCCAGGTCCCCTCAACCCCTATCCAAACTGGGACTAGGCCTGGGCTCACAGGAGTATTCCTGATACTATATGACAAAGATGCCGAGAGCTGTCCCCTTGAGGGTAGACAGAGGGCTCATCCAGACCTCCTCCCATCTGAACCAAATTCTACAGCTACTGCTGGGAACCAACCCATGGGAAAGCATCTTAGTGTAAGAAAGGACTTTCCACATCTGACTGTAACAAGTCTGGGCCCAGTGGAACTAGACAAGAGATGGAACCCTTTGTCAAGTGTGTCCAGGGAGACTTGCTCTGCAAAACTCAAGGAAAAAAGAGAGGAGTAAAAACCCCCTCCAACTTGTCTTTCTATTCCATCTGGACCTTTAACTGACTCAAACAAATAGTGGCCCATGGTGATTATAAAAAAGCCCATTTGACTATTCAAAAACAAGGGCAAAGCCTGCTAGGTGCTTACTACTCAAAGTACTTCTTTCACATGCTCATAGGAAAATGGTCTTTCTCTCCAGGCCTTTAGCTGACTGAACTTAATGAAACACAGTCGGGAAGCAGCCATGCTGGCCACAGGCCATCCTTTACCGGAATGCCCCAAGCAGGCCATTTGTGGATTGCAGAGCTGCTTCCTCTCACTTTCAGAATCTCTCATTTTATACAGCAGAGATTTGTATGAAATTACTGGCTCAGGGGTCACTGACATTTTGGGTAAGTTCAAGAAAATAGGTGGCTTTTTTCCTGGCTACTCCAAGGACACAAATAGGAAGATGTGGAAGTAAGTACTTGAAATAAGCTGTTATCTCCAAGTTCATGTGCAGAAGTGGGTGGGGATATTCAGAAAAGGAGGTGGAGGCTTCCAGACCCCTTCCATCCTCTTTTGCTAAGACTCAGGTGATCCCAGTGGGGGGAGAAGAAAAATCAAAGATTTCTGCTAAAGGAGATTGAAGAAGAGAGAGGGAAAAGAAAGTGAAAAAAAAAAAAAAAACACAGAGAGAACATCAAGGAAAATACCATTTTGGAAAACAAAAGAGAACCGAACCCACGCCTTTTATTTGCACCACACTAAGCAGGGCCCACGAGGGAGACTGAGTCCTGGATTAGGGATGGTGTCTGAAGGTGGGACTGGGGGAGGAGAGCGTGCTCACGGCTGCCATGACCCACGCACGGCCTGGCCTCCCTGCTCCCCGGCAGCCTCCCGGGCCGGTGTGGCAGTGACACCCTACAATGCCGTCCAAGCCATTCTAGAGAGTAGGAAGAGTTAGGAAAGAAGTGGGGACGTGGACGTAGCCAGGGGTTCAGCCATAAAGGGATACATTCTCCCACCTGCGCCACTTGACAAGGAGACAAGTTACTACCCCCAGCAGCTGAGCTACAGCCCCCCAGCCCTGCAGAGGGCCTGCCCCTGCCTCCTCAGACATTGAGAAATCCACTTCTGGTCTCCCCTTCTGTCCTTTCCATCAGCTCTGATTGGCTGATGTGCAAAATGGCCCTAAAGGACAGTGCTGTTGCATGAGACTCCTGGGCAGGAAGTTAGGGAGTCCAACACACTTCTATGGCTACTGTTCGCTACAGGGAAGAAAACCTGGGTAGAGCAAGCTCCAGAGGAATGGTTTGGGGCACAGCCTCCAAATAAAAGGCCAGAAGAAGAGACAAAATAGATCTAAAGGCATCTGATGAGAGAAAAATAGACATATACATTAGCCAGTATACACGTTCTCGCTCAGCTTCATTGGAATGAACGCGTCGCTTCCTCTTGGGAGAGTCTTTTCTTGTCATTTACCAGAAAAATTTTCTATACATGATTTATAGTGGCATTAAAATTTGATTTTATTTATTAAGAGGCAAAGAGAGAGAGAAAGAGAGAGAGAGAGAATTTCCATCTGCTGGTTTACTGCCCAAATGCCCACAACAGCTGAGGCTGGGCCAGGTCGAAGCCAGGAGCTGTGAACTCAATCCAGGTCTCCCACACGGGTGGCAGGAACCCAACTACTCCAGCCTTCGCTTCTTTACTTGCAGCTTCCCAGGGTGTACAGTAGCAGGAAGGCAGAGTCCAAGGCAGAACCCGGACTCAAACCCAGGTACCCTGGTATGGGATGTGGGCATCCCACCCAGCGTCTTAAACACTAGGCCAACATCACCCCTTGGGATGGCCTTTTTAAACAACTTCTCTTCTTGCTCCATTCAGTCTTCCTTAGTGGCCTCACCCACTGGCATGGTGTCACTTCCTGTCTCTAGGTTGTGTCTATGGAAATCTTTCTCGCTGTGCTCACCTGGCTGTTAGCCTTCTACGTCCGTTGTTCTCTGGGAGCAATGCCTTCCAGCGTCCCACAGGCCCTCAGACTCGGCGTGTCTCCCTTGCTCCCCTCCCCATGTTGTCACAGAGGCAACCTTATCTGGGGCATGTCCATGCTATTTCCTATTTCTTGTTTCTTTGAAGAGACAGGTGATACATCAGCTAATCACACCGTGCCTTCGATCCCTCTCCCTGACATTTCTGCCTGTGTGGTGTTGGGGACAGCAAGTGAGCAGAATGCGTCACAGATAATCCTTGTTAGGGAGCCAGCATTGTGGCACAGATGAAGTTGCCATCTGCAGTGCCAGCATCCCATATGGGTGCTGGTTCAAGTCCTGGCTGCTCTGCTTCTGAACCAGCTCTCGCTAATGCACCTGGGAAAGCAGTGGAGGATGGCCCAAGTGCTTGGGCTCCTACAGCCTACATAGGAGATTCAGATGGAGTTCTGGGCTCCTTGCTTTGGCCTGGACCAGCCCTGACTATTGTGGCCATTTCGAGGAGTGAACCAGCAGATGGAAGATCTCTCTCTCTCTCTCTCTCTCTCTCTCTCTTTCCCTTCCTTCCACCACTCCCATTGTCCACCTTTCAAAATAAAAAGAATAAATTTTTTAAAAATAATTCTTATTTGGAGACGGTCTTAAAGCAAATAAAATATACATCTGCAGCAAAATTACCAAATACCTACTGTGGTCAAAGCCCCCTCTAGTGTGTGAGAGATGTAAAAGGCACACTCAGATATTATACAGCGTCAGAAGGAAAGGAGCGTAAACGAAAAATCCGCATATCGAAGGGGGAAATGATTCTGTTCCCCTTCATCGACATGCGGCCCTGCACCCCTGCACCCCGGAGAGTGACCGTATTTGGAGATAACGGCTTTAACGATAGGATTGCGTTAAAATGAGGTCTTTAGGGTGGGCCCAATGCACTTGGACAGATCGGAAGAGGGAGTTGGCACACAGAGAGGAAGACAAGGAGACAGGTTGGAGCACAAACAGCCCTGTCTAGACCTGGGGCGAAGGCAGCCGCCTGCCACAATCTGCTTTGTGAGCCTCGCAGTCTGTGGAGTTTTGCTCTGGTGGCCCAAGCAGACTCCAAGTAGAGGAGACAACTGAGAGACTATTGGAATAATTGCCTGAGCACCGAACGAAGTCCCTGAAAAACCTTCTCTCCTACTGGACCAACCCTGGCAAAACCAAGCACAGGTGATGTTTCCTGTGGTTTCTGAGGTCCCTTGCGCTGCTCCGAGGTGGTCTGTCTGCTGGGGGTCGTTCTCCTGCAGGTGAGGAGTTGCTGCACGGGAGGGGGGTTTTTGCTGCTGAAATCACCCGTGTTCACCTGAAGGGGCGCTCATTCACCCTGGCAAACTGACCCGGGCTTGTTTATCGCCTCGAGTCACCAGCAGTCTTCAGAAGAGAAGCTTCATTACTGACTCTTCTGCTTACCATGTTACAAGAGCAGGGAAACAGAGAGAGAGAGGCAGAAACTCAGATTACCAAAGAGGGAAGCATGCCTTCAAAACTGGACTGATTCTGATGTACTGACTTCTGCGCAAACTAGCAAGGGCATGGAAGAAGACAGGTTTCTCTTATTTGGACAAAAATTACTTAGAGGCAGGGAGACAGAGGGAGGGGAAGCTCCCCTCTGTTGACTCACTTCCCACATGCTCACAACAGCCCTAGACGCGGGAGCCAGACACTCAACCTGGGCCTCCCACATGAGCCACTCTCGCTGCCTCCAGGGTGCACAGGAGCAGCAGGCTGCAACCTGAAGCAGAGCAGAGCACTCCCTCGGGTGCCCGCGTCCCAAACTAGCATCCCAACCACGAGGCTCAGCAGCTGCCTCAAAGACCTGATTCTCACAGGGCTCCTTTGCATATGCAAATTTAGGAAATCAGGCAGAGGGGCTGTGTAATTGGCAAAGGCTAAGCCCAAAGAAGGAAAAACACACAAACCACTCACAGTTAAGCAATCAGAGGTCCACTTCTGAGACTTCCGGTTAATCACCAATGCTTATGGAATTCGGTTTGACGATCTTGAAATGTTTTAATGATGTCTGGAATAAAATGAGGATACAAACAGGATTAAGTGGGATCAATTTAGCCACCGTAGACTATATATTTTAAAATAGCATTTCTTTCTCAGATACTGTTGTTTGGACTTTAAGGGGGAAACCAGGCTTAGATAGAAATAGTGGTTGTGTATTTATTTACATTTTAAAGAAAATAAATACAACGGTTACAGAATTAACTTTGAATTATTCTAAATAATGGGGCCGAGGAGATGCTATGGTTAATATCAGCTCTCTGGCAGGGTCGCATTTAATTGGCTAGATTCCCCTTTTCTGATCCTCATGATTAAAATTTGCAAATGAATAAAGGAAAACAGAAGAAAAACATCAGCCTAAAAACAAACTGTTTTGGTCTGCAGGGTCCACGTGTGTTGTGTGTTCACGTATTATCTTGAGAGCGAGACACAACTAGGAAAGCTTTAAAGACAAAACAAAGTGAGTGCAAAAAGTGAGCCAAAGTTGGGTTTGTCTTCAGGTACTCTTCCCTGTCCATTTTCAGATTAAGGGTCTAACACTGAAGAAGCTCTCAGCCCTTGTTTTAAGAGCTTTCTGCACCATTGCCTACCTCGCAACTTCAGACAGATGCCCGAGCGAACCATTCCTCCTACTTGCTCCCTCTAAGCCGTAGCTCTCCAGGCAGTACCCAGCACATCCATTCTGGATGACCAGGCTCAGACGCTACGGTCAAAGTCCTCCGAAGGCCCAGCTGAGTCTGGACCGCACTTGATAAGGGAGGACAAGACCCAGGATGGCAGGAAGGGCAGTCCCCAGGCCAACTTGTGCCCAATGGTCACATGCCATTTATTGCCCAGGCATGAGAAGGGACTTTCATGGGAAAATGTTCAGAGGAACAAAGGAGAGTAATTAAAGGAAAGCAGGAACTCATCTCCTATCAGCTTTCTAAGCCCTCCAAGAGGAGTGATTGCTCAGAGCCCCTAGGAAACCTCTAGCTAAAGCCATTCAGTAGCCCGAGAAGCGAGAACTAGCGCTGAAACACATTGCCAGCACCTACTTGCAAAGTGGTTAAAATCCTACTTTAAATTCCTACTGCAAGTGTTTTGCTGTTTTCCAAATGGATATCAAGGGGTTGAAGAAAACTGAGGGCCTTCAGGGATAACTTATTATAACAGGGAGTCACTGCAAGATTAAATTAGGGCTCCTTTACAAAACTGAACATCTGGCTAACGGAAAATCCAATTAAAAATAACTTATTTAATTTCAAGTTTTACCTTATATGGCTGAATTAGGACCTCTTGATTTCAACATCTATTTTCAACATTACTATTTCTATCAAACAATCCCCATGACCCTTTCATAATATACTGTGCTTTTAATATGGAAATAATAACTATCACTTAGCAAATTTTTTTTTTTAGTGCTAGATTTCTATGCCAAGCACAGTGCATATATCTATTTCATTTGATCACTATAACAACCTTCTATGATATTCTTTGCCTTAGGATAAGCACTGAAAATTTCATAGTGCTTAAACCACTGCCTAAATTCGCCCAGCCGATAAGCACCGAAGACAGTATTACAAGCCCAGCACTACCCAGAGGTTGAAGGACACTTGTGCACATTCACTCATTTGTTGGGTGCGTGCCCTACTCCAGGACAGAGCGTGTGGTGATGAACAGCACTCTGCTGTCCCGGTATTTACATGAGATTGGGTAGAGCCAATGCATGTTTGTGATGGAGAGTTGGGTGGTGAGGATGGTCTCTCTAAAGAGACACATCTGGGTTGAGAACACGTTTCTGGCAAAGAATCACCTATGTGAAGATCCCAGGAAAGGGTGTTCTGGGCAGAACCCTGGAGAACCCTGCCCTGAGACTTTGCCGAGATGACTGTGTGCTGTGCGATCATGCAACTCTTCCACGTTACTGGGTTCGTATGGGGGTCAGGTTCATATGTCCATTAGAAGAGGTCACGGAGGGTCTCACCGTAAAGTGATCCTCAGGTAAGACCTTCACTACATAGCTTGAGGGCAGCCACGTGCAGGTGGGGCAGGTGGCTGTCTCTGCCCCGAGAGTGCCAAGGACATGCACAGCCACTTTTGCATCCAACGCCCAGGAGCACAGATATTTTCTGCTCCCCTTCTCTCTTGGGCAACTCAAAAAGAGCTGATTGCCATGGGTTTTCACAAACTCCTTAAGTGCTAAAGGACAAGGCAGAATATCTTTTAATTCCAGGCAGAAGAATGAAAAGCTACAGGACACATTCCCTGGAATGGGAAAGGAATGGGAAACAGCTATTTCAGTCCTAGTTGGCAGGAAGTCACATAATTTGTGGGGATGGAAATTAAAATAAAAATGTTTAAAAATAGATCTTTGGGTTTTAGTCAGAAAGAGCCAATGACAATAAAACATCAATAATTGTCTCTGTTATTCATTTATTGTTGAAAATGGGACCTAGTGATATGTTAGAATGGAGAAAGCAAGTAATCTTAGGAAATTGGGTCATTTAAATAAGTAGCAATGAGTGCGCTGACCTTGAAGAAGTCGTTTAACCACTCTTGGCCTCTCAGTTCTGCATTTGTAACATGAAGCATTTGGAGCCCATTTTTTAAGATCCTCTCCACTCGGATGGTTGTGTGTAAATGCACACTCTTTAGGGAAAATTAGTGTGCATGTCTCGGTATCTGTGAATGACCTCAGCACAGACTAAAGCAAGTTTGCTGAGATGCTACTTTCCAGCAGCTCACACTGTTGGATATTCAGAGAAGTGTCTTGTTTTTAAAAAAAAATTTATTTTCATTTTATTTAAAAAGACAGGCAGACACACAGGGGGAGAGAGAGAGAGAGAGAGAGAGAGCATAAGCGTTATCTCCCATCCACTGGTTCCCTCCCCAAATTGTTGCAACAGCTGAGGTTGGGCCAGGCTGAAATCAGGAGCCTCTGAGTCTCCTGTGGGTGGCTGGGACCCAAATACTTGAGCCGCCATCGGCTGTCTCCTGGGTGCACATTAGCAGGAAGACGGATTGGAAGCAGAGTCACAAGGGCTTGAACCAGCCGTTAAGGTCCCAGGCAGTGACTCAATCATAGCACCAAGTGCCCACTCTGAGAAGTTTTCCTTTAAGTGCTGCCTATTTACTTTGCTGCTTCTTCATGTCTAAGAGCTGAGTGTATTTTGTAGCTCTAGGAGACATGATAATACATCACATCATAATATCTATATTTTACAGGATGCCTACTGTGTGCAAGATACTTGCTACCTGTTAACTCATTTACTCTTCCTAAGAAAACTGTGAACTAGTTGTCTTTATTATCTCCATTTGGGAGTAGGGAAACAGATTCAAGTTCACTGGCAAACAGTTGATAAATGGCCGAGTTGGAAGGCAAACCCCGATTTATTTGACTCTAAAGTTCTTTCCACGACTGAACACATAGAGTAGTCAGAGCTGCCAATGACATTTTCTCTTGCCTTTTTGACATCCATAAAAAGAAATGTTTGGGAGGGGTCTCTCAATGAGTACATTGAATGCAGATTGACTGAGTCAGCTAGCTAACTGCGTATAATCCACTAGCTTGTGGCAGTCCAATTCCGTAGCTCAGAACACCCAGAAAATATGGGTGACATTGAAAAACAGAAAACCCCAAATCTTTTGGAAGGCGTCAGAGAGCTGCTACAGAAGCAGTTGGTTAAGCCACCACCTGCAACACCAGCCTTCCGTATGTACCAGCTGCTCCATTTCTGATCCAGCTCCCTGCTAACGGCCCTGGGAAGTTAGTGGAAGATGGCCCAAGCACCTGGGCCCCTGCCACCCACATAGGAGACCCAGATAGAGTTCCTGGCTTCAACCAAGGTGCCTTGTCCAGCCTCAGCTGTTGCAACAATTTGGGGAGTGAACCAGTTTAAGGGACATATTACTCAATCTCTCTTTCTTTCTCTTCCCCTGTCTTCAACTGTGCCTGTCAAATAAATAAATCTTTAAAAAAAGAATGTGTATATAGAATATATAAAGAATTTTTTACAAATCAATATGAAAATGGCAGGTAATTCAACCATGAAAAGACAGAAAGGTGAAGCCAGAGTTTGAGAAAAAAAAATGAGCAAAGCATGTATCTGACAACGAATGTCCATCTAGAATAGAAAAGAATCTTCGCAAGTCAATTACAAAATGACAGATAATTCAACAGGAAAGTAGGTTAACATTTCAACAGGTACTTCACAAAGGAGGATATTAAAATGACCAATAAGATATGAACAAGTGTTTAGTCATGCAAAAAATTCAAAATAAAACCCTAATGAACTAAAACAACACACTCCTAGAATAACTGAAATCTAAAAGTCCAATAATTGAACATGTTGGTGAAGAACTGGAATTCCATGCACTGTTGTGCAAATGTAGATTGACAAAATCCGTTGGGAAAAATATTTGGCAGTATGTACCAACACTGAGTATCTGAGTATCTCGTGATGAAGAAATCTCACTCTTAGGCATGCACACACAGGGCTCCATGTACGTATTCATCAGGAGACACGCCCTAGAGTGCCAAGAGCAGCACTATTTGTAATAGCCACAAACTGCAAAATCACCTCCATGTCAGTGGCAGAATGGCTAAGGTGTGGTAGGCAATGAAACAATGTATGGCATTTACAAGGATACAGGTTTTTCCTAGGCAATCAAACTCACAATGTTAAAGAAGACACCGAGATCGCCCATGGATTTTTGTGTTGGACTACGTAATTGTAACCATACCTCTGGTACCCATTAAAAAAAAAAACACCTTTTTTTTTTTTTTTTAAAGAAGACACCAAAAAATTACTATTGGATTCCACAAACTTAAAATTCAAACGCAGACACGACAAATACTTGTTGTTGGAAATTGAAATAATGATTATCCCGGGGCCTGTGATGGTGCTTGGCACAGCGCCCTCTGCAGGGGTATGAGGCAGGCTCTCGGGGCTCTAGGAAGATTCTGGATGCTGATACCACGGCTCTACTCATTCCGTGAAAATTCACCACGCTGTGAAATTGCAGTTT